CCTATATAGGGTTTCTAAGGAGCAGCTGGTGGGTTTCAATTGCTGACCTTGTGGTTCACAGTCTGGTGCACACCCTATAGTGCCACACACACACACACACACACCCGCACATATATATATTCAACAACCTACGTTGTTGTTGTTGTTAGGTGCCGTTGAGTCAGTACAAATCCATAACAACCTTATTATGCGCAGCAGAATGGAACACTGCCCAATTCTGGGCCAACTTCACGATTGTTGCCATGCTTGAGTCCATCGATGCTGCTAATTGGCCAATCCATCTCATTGAGGGTCTTCCTCTTTTTCTCTGACCCTCCACCTTACCAAACACAATATCCTTCTCCAGTGACTGGTCCCTCCTGACAATATATCTGAAGTATGAAAGACAAAGTTTGGCCATCTTGGCCTCCAAGGAGCACTGGTTAATTGCCATCGAGTCGTTTCTGATAGTGACCATGTGTAAGGTTTTCAAGAAGCAGCTGGAGGGTTTGAGCTGCTGACCTTGTAGTTAGCCATCCAGTATGCTACACCAGGACTCCAGATTTTATATATATGGATGTAGTCCAAAGCTTGCCAGCCCAGCCTGCTTGCTGTGCCTGAAGGTAGTAACTTTCTTGGAGATGCTCTTCAACACCAAGGACTGCCCTGTAATCCACCCTTCCGGTGGCCCTCTAGGAAAAGGAGAATGCCTGAAATGTGCCACACAGGAAGATGCCTGGGAAGACCCAGAAATGCCTGGTCCTACATCAGAAAGGCATTTCCTGTTTTTTCTCAAAACCAGGGATCCTGACTGTCCGCTGTTAGCCTTAACGGGCTCCCTGTGCTCCGTGGTTGAGCTTCTGTTTTGTGTTACATCTCTCCATCTTAATCCTCTCAGGATTCTTGTAAGACCTGCTTGTCACTGAGCTCACGCTGCTGACAATGGATGGGTCAGCATAATTCTGTGCTTCCTCACCCAGCCAGACAGCTGCTCCACCAGATTGTGAATTTTTCATTTTCTTTCTTTCAACATCCAGGGCGTTTTCTGTGTAAATCTGACATTTGAACTGTGGCAAGAGAAATGGGGAGTCTGACCTTCTTCATTATTTATTATTATTATTATACTTCCAGTCCTGAAACATCTCATATCTCATTACTTCGGAGCATTTATGAAATTAGGGCTTATTCACCTTCCTCATTAATAATCACAGGTCTCACCAAGTTCAAACCCACCAAGGACATATTGGTGCCAGAGGTTTGCAAGCAGAGACTTAAATTGTTGTTGCTGTTAAATGCTGTCAAGTTGGTTCCGACCCACAGTGACCCTTTATAGGATTTCCAAGGAGTATCTGGTGAGCTTGAACCACCAACCTTGTGGTTCAAACCAACTTTGCAGTCCAGTGTATTAACCCACAACGTCACACCTGGATTCCAAGACAGTTAAGTAGAACTGCACAATTTGTCTTTAACAACCATTAAGAAGGAATAACCAGAGCCTTTCTAGTCATCTCAGACATAGATAGATACAATCATTCTGGGTTCTACAATGCCAGCATTTCCCCTAATCATGAAAGAAAGATAAGGTAGAGTTCACCATCAGCCAAAACAGATTAGCTGTTCACCATTCAAGAACACACAGATAATAGCCAATCAGTTTTGACCTCAGGTTCAAGTGTTCATACCATTCCATGGGTGGCATTAATGCACAGATGATTTCAACAGGAAGCTTCACCCATTCCTTTCCCTTCCAGAAGCCCTGGTGGCACAGTGGGGTAGGTATGTGTTTGGCTGCTAACTTGAAGGCCAGCAGTTCAAATCTTTTAGAAGCTCTGAGAGAGAAACAGGCAGTTTTCTGTTCCTGTAAAGATGTACGGGAGTCCTGATACGATGCTCTAGGATAAACACTGGACCACCAAGTCAGTTTGAACTGAAACTTTGGTGGTTCATATCTACCAGTTGGTCCTCAGAAACCCTACACAGGGTCTCTATGAGTTGGAACTGAGTCAGCAGCCCTTAACAACAAGAACAGTCTTGAAAACCTCATAAAGGGATTCTATGAGTCAGAAGGAGTCCTGGTACAATGCTGTGGGTTAATGAGCTGGACTGCCAAGTCAGTTTGAACCACAAGGTCGGTGGTTCAAGCTCACCAGCTGCTCCTTGGGAACCCTATACAGGGTTGCTATGGGTCAGAACTGACTTGACAGCATTTAATGACAGTTTAAGTGACAGAACTCCCAGATAATGGATGAAATGGGTTGAGTGCATCTATTCATAAAGGAAATGATAGTTGTTGTTGTTGTTAAGTGTTATCAAGCTGGGTCCAACTCATAGCCACCCTGTATAGGGCTTCCATGGAGCAACGGGTGAGTTTGAACCACTGACCTTGTGGTTCTAGCCAACATTGAGGTCCAGTGCTTATCCTATGTTTCAACACCAGAAATGGTAGGAGTGGTCAAATCCCCTCTTGGTAGCCTTGAGAAGACTTTAACACAGTACAAAGGTCAACTTCCTGGTCCATTTTTTTTCTGTTTCTTACTACACCAAAGGAGTGCCGATCTCCTTTCTAGCTTTAAGTCCATTCAAATACCAAACCAATCACCATCAATTTGAGTCTTAACTCATGTAACACCCTGAGTTGCAGAGTAGAATTGCTCCATAGGGTTTCCTTGACTGTGATCCTGAAGAGTGGAGTCTGGTGGCATAGGAGATGAGCATTCAGCTACGACCCAAAAGTTCTGTGGTTCAAACCTACCAGCCACTCCATGGGAGTAAGAAGGAGCAGTCGGTTTCCATAATGATGAGAGCTATGGAAACCCAATTGGGCAGTTCTACTTTAAGCTGGAGTCCTAGTGTGGTGCTATGGGTTAATGTGCAGGACAGCAAAGCCGGTTTAAACTGCAAGGTTGGTGGTTCAAGCTCACCAGCCACTGCTTGGAAACCCTACATTGGGTTGCAATGGGTTGGAACACACTTGTCGGCACTTAACAACTCTAACCTGTAAGGTTGTTGTGAGTTTGAACCTTGGAGTAAGGAGGCTTTGGGTATTGGGAAAGATCTGCTTTCTGGGACCTGGGTGATTTGCATGTATATAAGGTATGCACAAGTTTGAAAGGAATACTGCACTTCAATCCAAATGGTCAGCTAACAGCATAGGTACATAAAGGAAGTTAAAAATTATGTAACGGGTTAAGCGAAAGCTATAAATTAAAAAAAAAAATTTTTTTAAATGAACATATATATAGTTTAGTCCTAGAAATATAAACTACCTCCGTGTGGAAATATGTGCATATACCTATGTAGACACATGTAATGTGTGTAGACCTTCATACACATACATGTATGTATCTCCACATACACAGCCCACGTACAACAAAACCAGACGTTGTCAGGTTGGCTCATACTCATGTTGACTCCACGTGTGTCAGAGCAGAACTGTGCTCCATACAATTTTCAATGGCTACCTTCTCAAAAGTAGAGCATCACTAGGCCTTTCTCCTGAGGCTTATTTCAATCTCCAATCTTTTGGTGAACAGCCAAGCACACCAACCATTTGTGTATCAACTATCTGCATCCCCAAGGGCTCTATATGCATATATATAGGTACACAGAGTCATAGCTCCAAGGTATTGAGGGTGTGGTTTCAGACTGTCTCAGTAAAGTGAATATCATAAAGTGAGTCACATGGATTTTTGGTTTTCCAGTGCATATAAGTTACGTTGACTCTAGACTGTATTCTATTCAGTGCATAATGTTGTTGTTGTTGTTGTTAAGTGCCATCAAGTTGATTCCAACTCATAGCGACCCTGCATAGGGATTCTGAGGAGTGGCTTGTGGGTTTCCACCCACCTCACGGTTATCAGCCCAGCGCTTACCTGACAGTGAACTGTAGACCAGGACTCCAAGTGTGCAGTAGCATGTTTAAATAGTTTGAAATATTGTGAGGATGACCAACATAGCGCACAGAGACCAAAGGTGAG